TTCCCTCAATCATTCCATCTTTCGGATACTCCCAACTTCGCTTCCCTCCGTAACACCTCGCTCTCCTCCAACCTCACCACTTTCACCAACCTCGGCGCAGGACGTCAAGGAACAAGCACAGCATCTGCAGCAGGAGCCACGGTCGCCGGAGCTTCAGGTGGCATCGTTCCACCGGGCCACAAGGGCCTTCGTGGAGTTTTAGATAACATAGTTTCTGATGGAATGCGCATGGCGGCCGAAGTACGTAAGAAGATGGATGAGGCCCAGAGGGAAATGGAGAAAAGCGCGCTTGCTGGGCGGGCGGATGATGATGAGGATGATGATGATGATGATGTGATGTATGATGATAGCAGAAGCGGGCACAGATCGACGATGACTGGTGGTGGGCGATCATCTGCCCGTGATTCAGATCATGATCTGTTGGAGGGGGCTGAGGTTGTCAGTTTAAGGGACAGGGATGATGCGAACGGCGACGGAGATGGGAATGAGATTGGGCATGGACGTGGCGGGATGAATGCTCATGAACCTCGAACGTAAGCTGACGAGCTGGATGAAGCTTTGTTTGTAATATTGATGAAATGTGGAAGAGGTGTGGTTATTTTGTCCGCTCGCGCTTCTATTTTTGATTCAGATATCACCCTTGCTATTATTAGTGCCTTGGTCATAAATACTCGTTTGCAGTCAACAACCATCTTCTTTAATTTTGATCCATGAGGATTCTTTTATAGGTGTATTACAGCCATCCCGTAAGCTAATTCAATGAGTAGAGGAGGAACGGAATTACAACTATTGTACGTCTCGAATTTCCGTATATAGAGAGCAAAGAGGATACCCCTCGCGTGGTCTGCAAGCTTTTTGAGGTAAAACGAGATGTGAGATTTTAAAGAATAACGTAATCCACCACCCCAACGCCCGTTTACACCCAACGCCCGCCATTTCGCCATCACTATGATGAAATATTTTCAACGTTATTTATTTCAACAACGCAATTAGATTTTAAGATGATATATTATAGGATGAAAATATATATAGAAAATTACATATAAAAATATATAGCTAATTCAGTAAACGTTTGTTTGGCTTAATAACTTGCCCAGAATGTGAAATCTTGGGTGGAGGCAGATTCAGTGAGCAAGCAGTCATTAAACCAGTAGAGATTGCAATATCATCATATCCCTCTGGCAGTGGATCCGTGGGCACTCTGGCAGGGCTCTGAAAATGTGATTTAGCCACTCTTTGCGAAATTGAGGGTCTACTTTCCTGATTAGGAAGGTGATTTTGGAATTCTTCAATCATCTTCTTATTCAATTGTGATTGTAGCCGTACAGCAGCTTGTTCTTCCTTTTCTTTTTGCTCCTGAGCCTTTTTCTCATCTCTAAGCTCCTTGTCAATCTGCCGTTGAGCAGCTCTTGCAGCCTTATCCATTTCCTTTTGCTGTTTTGTGGCCTGGCGAGCTGCCTCCCGCTCCATCCTCTGCTGGATGATATCTGCCTCCTTCTGTTCCTCAAGAATAGTGCGTTGCAGCTTTGCATCCTCCTTACGAGCTTGCTCATCCTTTTTGGCAACCTCTGAGGCCGCCAAATTCTCGTGGATGCTCTGCACCTTTGCCGGCGAGAAGAACTGCACCAATGATGGATTCAAGGGATCTAGCAACCCCATTGCCCTGCCACGCTTGCGACATCTCCTCTCTTGATTAAGAGCTTTTTGAAGCTGCCGATTCTCTATTAAAAGAACCTCTTTATCAAGAGCAAGATTTTCCTCTGCACGGATCACCTGGTTGAGATCATTAGATATTGGATGCTGCTGTTGCTTGACTTGCTTCACCAATTTCCGCAGGCCAACAATAGAAATAGGTGTTCTTGGTTGATATATTGCGTCGGGGGGGGGGGGGGGGGGGGGGGGGGTGCAAGGTCGTATTTGAAGCTTTTTAAGAACGCGTTCCGGATCAAATGGATGTAGGCCAGTGGCAGCAAATGCAGCTTCAATATTTGAAGATGTAACTGTCTCCTTCCACGCAGTGTCAAAAAGCTGCCAAAAAGACCTCTTTGTAGTGCGTATGAATCCCATTCCAGTTCTCATTCATTCATTCAGTTGTTTGGAATATGATTTACTCAATGATCCAAATATCCCAACATCTAGCGGCTGTAATCAGTGTGTAGAATGGGGAGAAAAAACAGTGAGTAGAATTCAATTCTGATCTGCATAATTGATGAATGCCATATTAACATGGGATGAGTGGCCATCCAATATAAGAAGTCTATATCCACGGCCTGCCTTCTTTTTTGTAAGAGGTTCAAAGATCTTCTTTAACCACATTAACCCATATTCATCATTGCTCCACCCATTTTCTGAAGCAGTGAAGTAGGCCTGATCCTTTTCACTATCAAAATCTTCAAGCCAAGTATCTTGCATATCTCTTGATTCCCCTTGATATATGAGAGCAGGTGGGAGCGAAGTTCCATCTGCGCAAATTGAGGCAAGTAGTGTTATGAATTCTCGACTGCCATCCTGGCTGGCACCTATCATACAGCCCGATTTGAGCGAATTAATCGATACAATACGTTTGAGGGTGTGAATGAATCCTAATAGGAATCCTTTCTCATCAAAGTTGGAGATATTTGCAGGTTCAAGGTTGTATTTCATGATTTTTGTCTGCAGCTGAAAAATTAAGATAAATTAGCAAGATGAGAATTAAAAAAGCAGTATAAGAAAGAAATCTATTACAAGATCAAAATAATGCTTGAAGTATGCAGAATTGTCTGCAATCTTGCATTTTTGGTCGATATTTCACAGGTAGAGTGACTTGATCACATCCTTGTGGCACTCGCAGAACTGAGCCACCCAGTTGACTCCAATAGGTGCTTTTAGAATCTCAACAACGAGATTATGAAGGATTTGGGGCGTACAAGGGAAACCGCGATCTGCTAATTGATTGATATGAAAAAGGAGCCGTTTTTTCTTGCAAATCAGTGAGAGCTTTGCAGTGGATAGAGCTTGCTTCCTTTCTTGACATTTGAATGCCTCTATAACGCCTTGACAACATATATCAGCTGATTCCATATTTTTTTAGCGGTCTCAGTGTAATTAGGCGTTAATTGCGCGTTCAAATCATCAATCGCGGCTTGTATAACTGCTTCGTGGTGCATGTTGTGGGTGGTTAAAGATGAATGAAAAATGAAGATTTGAGCGGGCGTTGGGTGTAAACGGGCGTTGGGTGGTTGATTACGTTAGTTAGTTAACCTGACATGGGGAGATAATATGAACGTCGGAACCTTTGCCTTTATCTGCTAACATCTCTTCTTGAGATCTTGTTATAGTTTCCTGCTACGGTCTGTCCATGTTCTTTCTCTTCTGACTCGTACTGTGTGAATGGCTAACTAATATTTGTGATGAAATCCTTTGCAAGACAGCTCGATGATCTTAACCTGGGGCATTAAAACTGTACATCGTAAGCATGGGACGCTAAGGTTGGTGGTTTCATTCTCGAATATTCAGATGTCATAAGAGGTAAAAGGAACGATGAATTTGATGATCAAGGATTTGTCCTGTATACCCTCAGGTGATGTGATCCATGGATAGTAGCAAACTACGGTGGATAGAGAAATAACTCCGCAAATATGGAATGACCTCATCGAACTGTTCCATGGATACATTAAGGGTTTCTGTGGTAGTTACTAATTAACTTGCTGATCCGTGACAGCGCAGCATGAGAGAGCTGAAAACAAACTGAAAACTTGCGCTGTTCTAACTTGTGGGATTTGGAGATGTAGAGTTACGCGTGATAATAATCATTCGGTTGAAGATTTATCGTTACAATTCCAAAGCAGTTCACGAACACAAAAACATAACTAAACAGTTGGAAAACTGTAGCTTATGATACAGAATGACGTAGTCATCCACTCCTTTGTAGCTAAATGAGAGTCAGAATAACATTGATAATAGACCTTTGGGGTCTCGAGGTTTATCCATCCCCTTTCCCCTAGATTATGGTTAATGCACAGGAGGTCCTTTGCGACTTCATGCTGCTTCATATCAATCATGCAGTTGCGATGAGGTTCTTGAGGGTTCCGAAAGTCGACTCTTATAACCAATACCATAACTAATGTTCCCAACTGAGTTTCTGATGCTCAGTCGAGTAGTTAAAATACATGTTAGTAGTTATATTTCAGCCGGGTCGCCTGGGTTGAATATTATTAGGAATGAGATTGGAGCAAACGTAACTGGTCAAATAAAGCGTTGCGCAATCCGTGTCAGGATTTGGTCGCAACTCACTACTTTGACTATTCGACCAACTCGTTGCTTTTCCCCCCTTCGGACTCTTTAACTAACCTCCGAGGCCGGATAGTTATCTTGCGCCAACCGAACACAGGATGAACCCCTGAGAAAGAAACATCTCACAACAAGTAATTATGAGAAACAACCGCCCGCTCTCTTCTCAGACATCCTATAACTATCATGAGCGATTAGATATTGGGTCAAAAGTTTATGCTTCTTCTTGTACCTTGACGGGGTTTGTTGTGTGGAGGTGTTGTTGCATGTTGTTGCATGTCGTTGCATGAGGCTCTGAAGGCGCGGTTTCCCTCAACCCCGTCGCTGCTGACTTAGCCAACGTTGATCACCGCAACTTCGACTTCGACTCTTGACTCGACCAGGACCTCGCCTCCTCAACCCACCCCCTCTCGTCCATGCCACACCATACTGCCCATCTCCCTCACACCTCTGGTCGTCCTGGCGGCTCACCTCTGCTTTTTCTAAAACGTTTTCATGACCGTTACGCTCTAATTATTTGTCGTTGACTTGGCGTAGTGATGCTAACATATGGTTGTACCCCTTTGATATTTTCCGCGATCTCGTTCCATTCGTTCAAGGAGCCCTATGACCCTCATGTTTGTGGATTCAACTCTCCATTTGGCTAGGCTCATATTATCAGCCTCTGCTTGAGGCCTAGATTTGGGTCAATTTTTAAGCAGGGTTGCGGAGTAGTCCCGCAGAACTTCAAAATGGCATACCAACAAAACGGCCAGCGCCCACAGCAGTATCCTGGCCTCCCCGCGTCTCCCGCACCGCAGTACCACCAGCGCCAACAACAAGAACAACAGCATCAGTTTCCGCTATCGCATCCCCTTCAATATCCCGCGCACTATGTTCCTGCGCCCCCGCTAGCCAACCAGCAGCCTCAGGTCCCATTGCGACGGACGACGAGTTTCGACGCTGGCGATGACCAAACTTACTTCCATGGTCGACAGCATGCCGGCGCAACTACGGGCTATGTAGGGCAAGCAGACCAAGTAAGCCCTGGCAGTGGGTATGCAGGTTATTCGAGCGGAGGTGTGAACAGCGCCACAACAAATAATCTGGGATCAGGGAGCTTACATTTGTCTGTGACCTCACAACAAGTGATCAGCCAGTCTTCGCATAACTCGTCTGCGATGGCGGGATATCAACATCATTATCAATCCCCACCCTCAACTTCTCCGAGCCAACCCGCCTATAACCCCCTACAGTTCGCACATCCCGCTCCGGCAGCTCATTCACAACCAGGATATAATCCTCAGGCGTTCGTACCCACTGGCACTGCCAATACGCAATACAATAGCCAGGCCTATCAGCATTACAATCCAGCTGCATATCAAACTCCTCCCTCAGCCACGTATCAAACCTCCCCAACACCGTCATGGCAGCCGGTAACACCCGCTCAGTCGTATGGTTTCTCCCCGTCTTCGCAGTACCAATTTTCTCAGGCTACTCCTCAGCAGCAACATGTGCCGCTACTGCCACCTCCACCTCCACTTCCACCTCCACGAAATCATGAGAACGCGTATCAGCCTGGGTATCCGTCGCCTCAGCATATCGATACCTCTCCACGTTCGCAGTACGGTTATCCGGCCAGCACTTCTCAGCCAATCTCGTCCGTATCTCTCATCACTCCTCAGTCAACTTACACTACCGCACCTCCGACAACCCAGGCTGTTTACACTACGGATATATATGCAGCCGAGGTTCCTGCACCTGCTGTTCCAGGAAGGCTCTACGCCCAGGGTTCTCAACCTCTACCATCCTCCCCTCATCCTCCTCCACACAATACATTTGTACAAGGAGCATTCCATCAGCCATCCTCTCATTCTTCTGTCGATGATAGATCGCCTGCAACGTATCAGGCTAGTGGCCTAGTTCCAACTCCCCCTGTTCACCAGACACACCAAATTTTACCTAGGCGAACTGATACACTGAATCGCCACCCACAGTCTAGGCCTTTACCGGGGCCGCCAACAGAGACAGAGCAAGTGGCGACATCTGTAGTGGACAGGCGGAATGGACGAGGGGATTTTGATGTTAGTTATGGGGATTCTATGAAACCAATTGAAGGTGCAGTGATAGAAAATCACCCGGCAGGTGCACGACAAAGCCCCCGAACTACCACCTACCATAATCAACCATGCCAAGGAACTACCGTTGACCGACCCTCACCACTCTCCGCTTCGCCGCATCCTCATATATCTCCAGACCTGCATCACTCATATACGAACGGTCATGCTCACATTGCCAATGTTGGACCTGGACTTAATATTAACTACGATGCACATAGTGAGGAGGACGATGCCGAAGCTGCTGCTGGCTTGGCAGCCTTGCAAATGGCAGAGGAGGAAGATGTTATTTTCAGTGCTCGCCGAACCGCAAATTCAACAACGGCGAGTGCTCTCGGACTCGTCCATGACCGTCTCCCTTCGACTCCCAACGCCCACGTTGAATCGAGTAGCGATAGTGATTATGCTCATCATGACATGGGCCTATACGGGGGAGGGTACGACGCTCACCTGCACTATGGTGATAATAACCCCAACATTAGCCCTGATACTGGACAACTTGTCGCCACTTCTGGCTCGCTGCGAAGTTCAGATATATCCACGGACGACTTCGGGACGAATTCGGATAATTATGAATACCCAAGCATGGACCAGGATTCCATTCACCCTTTCCCATCCCATAGTAGTCCGGCACGAGTGGATGTCGTTGGTATTGGCGGTCTCGCACAGCCCACAATTAATAACAGAAGGATGAGTTTCGAAGATGGTGATGAGGGAGCTATGAATAGGCCAGGCACGCGGCCCACTTCAGGGAGCGACACTACTGATGAAGGCGAACCCCAGGATTTATTCTTTCATCCAGGAATGTCTTCCAGGCCTCTACCTCCCGCACCTGTTCCTGTGGCAAGCAAAAATCTTATCCCGCATCTGATGCCTGCAGGTACTTATCGGAACCGCGAACCACATGGGCAACAATTTAATTCCTATGGACAACCTCCCTATCCCTCTCATCCAGAAGAGTTTGTTCAACCCTCGTCGGCGGTTCCACGGTCAACTTCTCTTTCTACCCATACGAATAGTCCTCGCGCTGATCCGATCATTAGGTCGAAAACGGATGCGGATAGAATTAGGCTGAAACAGGGTACATATGATTCGCCGGGCGCGACACCTGTTACGCTCGACCTGCCTACCATACCAGCCGGAAGGCGTAAGAAATTTAGCCCCGCGAAATTGTCAACGGAACAATTCCGGAAGTGCATTGAACCGTGGGCTCTTAGTGCTGTAGTTGCGTGGATCAAGGACTTGAGTGAAGATGAGACTGACCTTAAGGAACAGGCCATAGTTGACGCTGTTGTCGCACTATTTACTCACAAGGTTCCCACCATGAACACTATTGATGCGGAAGTTTTGGGCGATAGGATTGTGAAAAATATGTTAAATGAAGGTGTGTTAATTAAAGATGAAGAGTGGGTTAAATTCGGGCCTTCAACCCTCTCGGGCGTCTTCTGGCAAATTAGTGGTCAAGGCTGCTATTCGTCCCGACTGCATTTACAGGAAGGTGAATCTGTTGGCCGCTGCTACTCTCATCATTGTATGCGAACTCTAAAGAAGGTTAATCTCCAGATGCATGAAATGGAACCAGAGAAAAAGGCAGAGGATTGGGCTACATTCTACAAAGTAGGCAAAGAAATATTCGAGACTCATTCAAAAAAGGAAATCGATCGACAGAATATCCTCCATGAGATTGTTACGACGGAAGACGCGTATATTGGACAGCTGGATGTGTTGCGAATGTTGTATCGTGATCAGCTTGCAGAATTTAACCCTCCAGTGGTTAACCCGAAGCGCATTAAAAAGTTTTCAAACGATGTTTTTGGAAAAGTGGATGCTGTCAAGAAGGTCAACGAAGATCACTTACTTGCTCAGTTGAAATATCGTCAAAAGGAACAAGGACCATGGATTGTTGGGTTCAGTGACATATTCCGCGAGTGGATTCGACGAGCAAGGGCTGCTTATATTGATTACGCAGCGACTTTTCCCAATGCAAATTATCTTGTTCGAAGAGAGGCTGAAACAAACATCCTGTTCAGGCAATTCTTAAACCAGGCCCGGGAAAATAAGCTGTCTAACCGACTAAGTTGGGACACGTTCTTGAAGGCTCCGATCACCCGGATCCAGCGATATGTCCTCCTCTTGAATACAGTATTAAAAAGTATGGAAAGAGAGTGCGAAGAGAAGACCAATTTAATCCAGGCCATAGAAGAAATCAAAGCTGTTGCTGCTGAATGCGACACAAAAGTTGGCGATATGGCCAAGACCGTGAACCTGAAGGAACTAGGATTGAAGTTGCAGCTCAGGCCGGAGTTGAAAGGGGAATTTCAACTTAACCTTGAGCATTTGGAGATCATATTCCAAGGGGATCTCCAGCGACCGCGAACAAAGCGGTTTAATTGGGTTGATATACGTGCAATTTTGTTCGATCGGTATCTAATTCTTGCAAAAATTGTCGTCTCTCGGGATGCGTCACGAAAAGAGTTCTATGATGTATCCAAACTGCCAATACCAATGGACCTTCTAACCCTCGAGAGTACGAATGATGACCCTGTCATGAAATCTTCTGTTAGGGGGATAACTGCAGTTTCGACTCCCGCCGGTAGACTAGGTTCTCCAGCGGATCGCAATAGCCCTGGCCCTGGGAACTTAACACATACTGCCACGAGTTCTTCCACTGCGTCTACCAATTCCACCGCTTCTTCCAAAACTCTTGTTCCTGTTTCCGTTCTTGACCAGAGAGATGACAAAATTTTATATCCCTTCAAAATCAAACATCTTGGCCAGCCAGATGTGTACACACTTTATGCACCCACGGCACAAAGCCGACAGGATTGGTGCGAAAAGATTATTGAGGCCAAAATAAAGCATGCAAAGTCTCTTCATGCTCAGAATGCGGAGCCTTTCAAACTTCGTGTACTTTCGGACTCCGCATTTGCATATCCGGACCACGCAGTTTCACCTAAGACCGCCGTAATCACAGGCACTCCCTTGGATCGAGCGATACGTGAAGTTGAAGCTAGGTACCAAGGAAATCTGTCACGGCCATTACCAATCTGCAGAGCTTCCGTAAATTGTGCTACTGTGTTTCAACAACCGCATGGAAGATTGATGTGTGCTGTTGGGACAGACTACGGCGTGTATATCTCGGAATACGACGATTCTAGAGGTTGGACGAAGGTGAGTACTAGAGTCTCGCAGTTTAGCCAAATGATATCGTGTTTACGGACCTTAGCTAACATCCCCATCTCTAGGCAATATCCACAGTACGCGTAACTCAGATGGCTGTTTTCGAGGAGTTCAACCTGTTCCTCCTTATTGCAGACAAATCTTTAATCGCATACCACCTTGACGTTGTTTGCCCACCAAGTGGGGTTCACGCACAAAGCGACTCGCAAAGGCGTGCTCCACAAAAGTTATCAGGTAATCGAGAAGTTGGATTCTTTGTTGCTGGCCGCATGAAGGACAGGGCTCTTGTGATTTATAAGAAACGTGATGGGATTACGTCCACTTTCAAGGTATTATCGTCCAACTGTTTTTGCATCAAATGTCCTTGCCATGCGCGTATGGATATAACTGGTTCTCTAATCGCTGAACTTCGCATTAGGCCCTTGAACCTGTTTTGCAAAAGTCATCCTCAATTCGTCCACGATTCCTACCTACACGTCGTGGCCAAACCGATTTTTTCCGTGACTATGATGAATTTTATATCCCGGCAGAAAGTTATAGCATCAACCTTTTCCATTCTTCACTTGCCATTTCGACATCCCGAGGTGTCGAGGTTCTCACTTTAGACAAAAAGCAACCATACTCTGTCCCTTGCCTCCAATCCAAACAGCCCGAAGCGCAGCCAAGTCTAAATCAAATTGGTAGCCGTATTAGCAATCTCCGGCCATTAGGCATGTTCCGCCTCAGCGATACCGATTTCCTCGTCGTCTTCGTTGACTGCGCCGTCTACGTTGATAATCACGGCGACGTCAACCGTGCAGTTATTATGGAATTTCTCGGTCGCGCCATCTCCGCCTGCCTCTGCGGAAAATTTCTCATTCTTGTCAACGAGGACTTTGTCGAAGTGCGCAACGCTATGAACGGGCGACTGCGGCAGGTTATCGCTGGCCGCAATGTGACGCTTCTTGACGATGGCGGAAATGGATCTGGTGGCATGAGTAGCTCGTCACCAACGAATTTTAATGAGGCGGCCGCTGCTGTAAACCCGCTAAGCGGGCAGAATGGCCTAGGCCTCTCAACTGGATTTTCGACTTCTGGGCGAACGGTGAAGATTTGCATGCAGCACCCTGAACATGAACGTAGTCAAATTATTGTGGAATTACTCGAAAACCATGGGTTGAAGGAGTGATTACCGTTTGGGGATTTTTAAGATTTTCAGGTTATATATTTGTTGGTTTCTCTTTCTTTCTTTCTTTCTTTTCTTAACAAAAATGTATGTTTGTGTTTCTATACCCACTTTCACGTATTCTCCGGATGTTGCTCCTTTAATTTTTATTGTATTCTTTTCATTTTGGATTCTTCTTTTGGAGGTGTTATAACCCGCTATTTCTGGTTTTCTTCGCCTATGGCGGTTTGGCGAATCTTTTTGTGTCGTGCTTCCATTCTTCAACATTATTTGCTTAATTTACATTTTACCTACCCTCTTTGCTTTATATTTACTTGTACATTTTTATTCGTACCCTCAATTTCAATTTCTGAATGTCTTTCTTTCTCATTCCTAATTTTTCTGTTGCTCATTTTTCCCCTATTTCTTTGGTTATATATATCACATCTTTTTGCGGCAAAGTATACTCCACGTTACCCATGAGCAAACGGTTTTCAGTTTACGGTCATTATCTTATTTATGATTCAGCCTTTGTCATTATGAAGGGCTATATTCAAGTCCGTTTATATATACTTCACAATTCACAGGCTAGCTAGTAATACAGCTATACAGATATCCAAATAGTTTCAACACAAGCATAATTTATGAATAGCGATTGTGCCGTCCCTCCATTCCTCTACCGCCCGAAATACCATGAGAGTGGGGTTCAACCGGCTGAAAACACAACAGCCTATCTATTGACCGAGTCATTTTGTTTCCAGTTGCAGAGCAGCAACCAGGATGACCTGGATAAGTTAGATCTGGCTATGGCAGCTAATTCATTCCTCATTTGATATATCTCGAGAACGAAGGGTTTGTTTAAAGAGGTTTTTGCTCAGTTTGCCATTGTCGGGTTTCCGGTCAATAAGGAGTCAGGTACGCTTATACAAATACAAAACCATTTACATTCTATTATTTTGGTTATTGGCTTGGTGATATAGATGAAATAGTTTAACTGTTAACTAAGTCTTTCAGTTGTTAGTTATTGGCTTTTTCAATAAGGGGATATAGGGCGTACGTAAGTAATCGTTAAACTGGATTGCGGTGCCATAGCACCTTGGAAATTCAGATGGAATTCAACTAATGTTATATTATATGCGAATTGGATACAGTGTTGTATAACTAGCTATTATGCTTTCAAAAATAAATAAAACTTTTATCTTACAGCACAAGGGTTGATACCATGGCAGAACTTCTGGTGATTCAAAAGATAAATCTTCCGAGGACTGTGGGATAGGATTACTGATGCTAGTCCCATGATGCGGACTTTTTCTTTTTGAAAGTGCGAATTTCGTGGAAATAGGGTGTTGCTCTCTGTATCAATAGTGACACTCCCAACCTTGGAAATGGCTCTGTGCCTATTGAATAGCGAAAACCTTGGAAAGCCCTCACATGGCCATAGAGAATAGTATTCGTGGTTCAACGGTCTTCCCATAAAGGAGCCGCTTCCCCGAGTCACGTCTTCTTTTCCAGGAATCCTGACATGTCCGTTGAGTGACCTCAGGGTTACAACCCAATTGTTCCTGCGCAGGTTGTTCGTTGATTAGGACATTTTGCGAAAGGGAGAACGGCGACGCGTAGTGTTATATTAATATGTCGCAATTGGCCAAAGTGATCTACCAGCGAGCGATATATAGACATATATAGATATGTTCCCGCAACTTGATTTATTGACGAATGCATTGTTCGTCAACGACGGGAATATCCAAGATGTGGCAAATAAGTAAATGTTTTGTCGCGGTTTTCTTTTTGAGAGTTCGAGGCAGTTCTTGGCAGTGTTCAAACAGCAAAGTGTGGTTGCAGTCGCTTCAGCGGCAACGAAGGAATTAAAATGCTTGAATAATAATCTCGAGTCAACGTTGATAAATCGACATGACAGGTGCATCTCCATTCACGATGTATTACATCACCAGTCACAATCCATGTCAGCTGATCTTGGGTGTGTCGCTCTGCGTCCTGATACCGCTTCAGAGGCACAGATTCCATTCTCCTCCAAGCCCCTCCAATCCATTTCTGACTCTCGGGGTATGTAAAGCTGGCAAGTGGGACATTGCCAACACAACGTTTACAGGTCATGCAATTTTATCCTTAGGCCTGGTTGCGTTTTACCGAATGTAACGAAAGAATCACGTTCGGAATCGGCAGGCAAGTCAGGCCGCGCTGGAAGCTTTGGGTTTGACCGCAGTAAACGAAGATACTTATTACGATATAATTATTCGTCTCCGGCGTAATCGAATTCAGGATTCGGGACAAAGTCTCCCTTCCAGTGTTCCGACGAATCAACTTGATCCGGTTTCACATATCTTGCGGTCATCGCAAAGCGAAGTTTACCTTCAGGAACGACTGCATGCTCGTAATACTTCTGCAAATTAGGACCATGCATCACAACCATATCACCGTGATTAAGCTGTAGTACGCAGAATGGAGAAGATTCCTTTTTGTTGACTCCGTCCATCTGCTCTTCATCATGCTTTCGTTTCGTCTTTCGTTGCAGGAGTCTTTGGAGGCTGTCCTCATAATAAGATAAAGAGATCTCGCCATCCTTAAGCTTCCGCTGAAGCTCGACTCTTTGTTCGTACATCAGACAGCCAGGAAGTACAGGATCATCTACAACAAGTTTGCCTGCTCTGCTACACCCATGATAGTATTTGGCCTTCATGCGGATAGTCATGGTCGCTTTTCCACCTAGAGAAAGTGTGGCGATTGTTGGTCCCAGAGACGACTCCCCGTCATCATGATACTGAAAACAGACGTTAACCGCGGGTAACGCCGCCAACGTATGTCTTTGACTTACCCCGATTGACATGTCCTCAAAATATCCCAGGGTTAACAGCTCATTAGGCCTCTGAAATTCATCTTCATTCACAGTCTTCTGGGTAGCCCAAGTAAGACGTCCGAGGGCAGCAAGAATTACGGAGGGAGCTGCGTTGAAAGGCCTAGAATCGACACTCACAACGTATTTATATGGCATTCCCTATTTCTCATGTAAGAAAAACAACCAGATGCAGACGAGAGCAAACATTGGGGGACTTACATAGTTAACAGCAAAGTGCGAAGTCAGAGTTCCAGCCACTATTCTCGGAAGAAATAAAGTTAGTAAATCGAAACTCAAATTAGGAGGTGGGTTATTATGAATGATGGCATTTTAGAAGCAGCTAGAGAGGAAGCAGAATTTCGTAAGGGAGACACATGCCGACGCTCTGCTGAAGGGGATACCGTCGTAGGCCAAGATCCTCCTCCTGTAACATTTTAAAGAGATCATTTGGGCCTCTTTCGCGAAAATTAACTGTATTATTAGCAGCAAAATGCGTAATTAGACCCACACCAGGGATCTCGAACATGTCTTTCCTGTAGTTCTTCATGTAATGAACCACTGGAGCTGTTTTAGTTTCTTTGCCTTTGCGTGGGAGCCGATGGCCAACAGGGCCCATCTCGAGCTCTGGAAGCACGGATCTCAGCGATACTCGAGTCATAGAGAATTGGTACTGAAAGCCACAGCCCTCCGTTTCGCAAATCCACCCTCTCCAATACTTTCTGGAAATGCATCGTCTACACTTGGGACACACAATTCCTTTCCATGTAACACGTGCCGATGTGAGGTCGGTGTCTTCTTTCAAAAATGTAGAAAGTAGATCCGGGACCAGACTACAAGGAGCTCGAACCGGCTGTTTCTGTTGAGTCCTCATCCTCAGAAATAGGGGGTGGTAGGTCAATGTTTTCGATGGCGAAGATCCGTTCACCCGCCAGAACTGATTGCAGAAAGGCCGCAGACACATCCAGCCCTCCTGATAAACCCGAGGGCTTGTACTCGAGCACGATTTGCAGGTTGGGCCATCGATCGGCGCGATAGAAGTACGCTGACGTATGGGAATCGGATCATTTGAATTTTCCGGAGCCCACCAGCTTTTGCTATCTAGATCCAGCTTCTCAAACCGTATTCTAGCAGCCGGCATCTTGTCTACTTTCTCAAACCAAATGTTGGTGATTCGAAAAAAGTCCATCACATTGTATCGATGGGGAACCTTCGTAGGACATATAGAGTTTTTGTTGCCTAGAGAATCATGAGCCCCAATAATTGATAAAATGCATACAGTTCTCTGTGTTTACCGATGATCATTCCTACTGGTATATCGTGCTTCATGGAATTCATAAGAGCATCAAAAATGGTTCCAGACCCGGTATGCGGCTTTGTCTGAACCAATTCGCCATTTTTGTTCTTTTCACACCCACCTCCACTACAATATTTCATTAGTCAAAGGATGGAAACAAACTATGTAAAGTACCATCAGCCTACATTCGAGTAATGATAATTTCATCGTCTAAGTATGCCTGGCTTCCACTGTCAGCATCGACGAGAAATCCCCAACAGTAACCATCAAGAAAGTAGCAGCCACCCTGCAGCGAACGGAACCAAGGTAGAGCATCACAAAGTTCCGGTCGATTTGTTGCCCACGCTGGTGGAGAACCACATGGTGGAGCTGTCCCGGTAATCAGTATGGGCGTAGTGCATGCCGTTGTTGAGGTTTTAGAAATAGGCAGATCTGGGCTTGCTTGAGTGCGCGATAACGAAATACCTCCTGAAAGCGAGGTCAGAATAGCATCTCACAATATCAGTATGCTAAAGTTGTTGCGGTAAAAATGCCCGTGTTGTCGATTAAAATAAAGAAATAAAGGAATACAACGTTGCATATATGAGGTTTCTCATCTGCTTGGCATTAAACAGTTTGAATGAGTAAGCAGGGAGGTGATGGCAAAATGGCAACGAAAGATAGAATAAATGAAGTAAAAAGAATAGCAGAAGTAAGCACAAATATGCAATTTTACACAAAGCTAAGGCATGGAATAACATACTTGATTTGGCTTCCTGAGGTTTGGTAATCGTGCCCACGCCCACAACATTCCTCTGGCGCAAAGCTCTTCGTACAATTCCATTATTTGGCTCGGCCTTCATATTGCAAACACACGACGTAGACCTAATAAATTAC